AGGGGCAACAACCATGGCCCTCTGTCTGTGATTGTGAGGACTCCGGCCACTGACACCACCCAGGACCACAGCCTCATCCTCCTCAGCTTTGAGACAAAAGGTGCAGAGAAGAAGATCGCAGTGCGATTCTGCTTTTCTGAACCTCCAATCTCTTACAGAGTCACAGAGATCAGAACAAAATTTGTGGTTGACATGTATGCAGGACTCACAGGAGATACAGCTTTGGAGGAAGTGAATATTCTTTAAAGATAGCTTTGAACTCTTGGATACCAAAGGAGTAACTAAACAAGGCAGAGGGAAAGAATGTTGGAGCTTAAGGAAAATTATAAAAATAGTACATACAGTTAGCAAGAAAGAAAAATGAGGAAAAAATGAGAATATATAAGATCTTGGGAACACCATGATAAATTCAAATGATCCCAAAGGAGAAGAACGTTGGGCTAAGACATAGAAAACCTATTCAGTGAAAAAATAGCCTAAAATTATATGAACACCCAGCTACAGGGGCATACAGGACCCTACCTGGACCTACAGGACCTATCAGAACTGGATCTCTCTACTGAATTTCATATTTAAAGTGCCAAAAACACAAAATGAAGGAAAAAATAGAGAAGTTCCCTGCTACATTTTATAGGTAACCACATCAAACTAATAAAGGATTTCTCATCAGAAACTCCAAAACCTGAAAAGGATGTGGCATGGTGTATTTCTTTCTTTTTTTTTTTATTTAAAGAGAAAAAAAACACAAAGCAGTAAAAGGGTACAAGTAATACAGAATTTCAAGAAAAAAAATATACAGTAAGACATCACTAGTTAATGAATTACATATTGTCATCTTAGAAACAGTTGTCAAAATTACAAAATTAAAGCATACAAAGTGGGCATTCATACAGTGAGATTGCAGACAGTTCTGTTCAATGATCCAACAAAAACTCAGTAATATGGTTCTTTATCTTACACACTCAAACATATATGCAGTTATATCTTCCCTCTCTTTTTTACAATAACAATTACACTTTTTGGGTTTTATTTCTCCCACAGTTCTTATAACTTTTTTTTTTGAAGAGAAAAAAAAAACCAAATGTGACAAAGCAAAACAGAGTCAGTTAGAACAGAAGGACGGACATAGTACATGATGCAAAAACAGATTACCAGGTGATCAAAAATGGTTACCATTATGCCTCTTGCTATCTTAAAAAGAGTTACCTATATCGTCAGGTATAACAGAATTGAACAAAACAGTACAGAACAAGACCAATAAAACCTAAATTGGAGACCTTACAGGACTTCAAAAGAAGATAATAGTCAAACCATACTGGGCATCATAGTAAATCTTATTGCGTTCAAAGTGGTTGCCTATACCCTCAAACTTGATACTATCAAACAAAACAGCATGGTGTATTTCAATTCCTGAAAGTAAATGCCACAAGATGACTGAGCCCAGTGGGTTGTCCTTCTGAACCAAAGGTTTTCCAAAATAAACATAAATTTTGGCCACTAGACCAGCATTACAGAGACACTTAAGATAATCCTACTTAAGAAGATTAATACAATCATCAGAGCACAGGAAGGAAGAAACCTCAGGGAATCAACACAGAAATGAGAAACTGGAGAGCCCAGTCTTATCAAAATACTGTAAAAGACCACATGTCTCAGATAAATAAGTCAGAAAGAAATGAACACAGAATTTTCAAAACCACCAAATAAATAAACAAAATGAGAAGATCAAATGCAATAATAATAACCCTGAATGTGACTGGTCTTAATTCTCCAACTAAAAATGCAGACTGAGTGTGCTAAAAACTCAAGATGGAACAACATGTTTCCTGCACAAAACTTACGACATCTGTAAAAACTCAAAGACTGAAACAGAAAAGATGGGCAAAAATCCTCTAAGTAGAAGTAATATGAAAACAATCAAGACTAGTTATGCTTTTATCTGACAAAGTAGACTTTAATCCAATTCAAGTACTCTAATAAGGCCTATAAGACATCAGAAAGTCTTTAGTCCCTGGGAAAGCCTTGTCCAACAGTAGAAAGGTTCTTTTTTTTTTTTTTTTTTTTTTTTTTTGTGATCTGCTTTTGATCAGAATGAAAAACAAGGCAACTTTTAAATCAAAGACAGGAAACCACATGGGTTGTGCAGTCAGCGCCTACGTACAAAGATTAGGCATTGTAGGGTGAGTGTCTGGACATTTCCCCTTAATAGCCTGAAGATCCTAAACAAAGTAGTATGCTTCCAATTAGGGCTTTTTTTCCTGGAAGAAGAGAAAAATTACTAGGTGACTGAAGAGGCCAGTTTAAGTCACGTTTTAAAGTATCTGGAATGTAAGTTCAATTTTATCAAGTGCCTGATGTCATAAGGGTTATCGCTTACAGGGGAATTAATTAGTGCACTGATATCTGAAAAAGATCTTAGCAGGCAGGATCTTTCAAAGTTTTATGTGCAATCCCATCAGCCCAACCCACCTGCCGAGCTCATTGGTTCATGCCGGGCATATATGCTCACCTGTGGGATGGTTTCCCTGAGGATCAGCATCAGCCGGAGGGAAAGTGCCTGCGCGAGTGCTTCTTGCATTTGTATTCCATGTTTTTCTGGGCAGATGGTTACCTGAGCATTTACTTTGCATAGCAAGTCCCTCCCAAGGAGTAGAACCAGACATTGAGGTCCACTGAGAAAGCCGTGAGTTAAGTACAAAGGTCTTAACGTGCGTGGCAGAGGCTGCAGGAAAGCCTGTTTCTGGGCTTTCTGAGTAGCCCTGCAATAGGAACGATCTAATTAGACTCATTATCAGTGAGGAAGTTAGGAATAAATACGCACCTCTGGTGTGGATTGGTAACACTGTTATTTTTACTTGGGGGTCTTGAGGAGAGAACAGAGCCGAGATGGTCATGGGCGACCCAAGGTCCCCTCGGCCCTGCGTAAAGTCATCAACTTTTGTAATCTGAACTATTCTTTTATTGGAGGGTTTGGTTCAGTTTTCCTTCTATTTCCATTTTCATTACACAACACACAGTGGATCTTTGCTAATGTCCTTGTTCCTTCCTGGGTTAATCCTGTAGCTTTAACTGCCAGGCTTCAATGTTTTAGATCATGATGGTCTGTCTCAGGGAAAATGGTGGATTTTATAAGTTGTCTCCACCAACCAAGACTGGTTTATCCACATGGTTCCTTCAGTGTTTTGAAATTTATACCTGATTCTATGTAAATTTGGTCAGGTAAAGATTATAGTGACCATTTTTACATTTTTAGGAGCTTCTAGTTCTAATTTAATATAAATAAAATGTGATTTATTTATTTAGTCTTTTGGGGGGCATATATCAGGATTCAAACTCAGAACCTCATGTTTGCCAGGCAGGCATTGCGCCACTGAGCTAAATCCCCTTTAAGACAAGGTTTCACTATGTGGTTCAGACTGGTCTCAAATTCAATCTGTAGCCCAGACTGACCTCAAACTCACAATAATCCTTTTGTCTCAGCCTCCCAAGTGCCAGGGTCATAGGTGGGCACCATCACACTGTAAGTCTGATATACTCTTTTCAAGCAACCCAGAAGGGCTTTCCTGTAGCTTTTATTTTTTATCTGTTCCAGCTCATTTTGGGTACCCACCTGAGTCCTCCTAGGATATACTTCTGGTCACAACCTCGTAGGACCTTGCTGTCCTTTCCATATGGATTCCAGTTTGGTTTTGCTGGTGATAAGGCTCTTTCTGGATCACGCTGTTAAGGACTTGGGCCTGGTGTGATGGATCTGAAACTCTACATGAGCCGTATTGAAGACAAGACTTCTCTTTCCCAGTAAAACTTATCTGAAGCAAAGTCTATTTATCTGCCTAGGGGGTAGAGGGTTGTAAAGATGCTTGGAAGTTTTCCCCCACCTTCTAAGGACCATCCTAGTGAGGAGGGTTAGAGCTTTTCAATTTAGCAAAGCACAAGTCAAAAGAGGATTCAGGTTCAGAAATAGCCTGGAGGCTGACAATGGGAATTTAGCATTCACGTCCCATTGAATATCGTCTTAGGGAGAATTGTCTTGCTCTGCTGGAGAAGATTCGCTGGACAAATTCAGTATCCTGATGAGTCTTAAAAGAAGAAGACCATCTCAGATTCACCATCACAGTGAGAAGGTGCTGTTCCTCCTGACGCTCTACCAGCTCCCCAGACTGGAGGAGGCTCAAGTGCAGAGAGCACAAGCCCACTAGCGTCAGGGTGAGATTCGGTGTTTAAAGCTGTTAGCAGCCTTTTCTCTTCCTCTTTGCCGTTTCTATTGTCATCCAGCAGAAGCCTCTGCTTTGGTGCCTGAAATCTTTCCACCATATGTTTGGTGTCATATTTAGAAGGGTCTTGGTTATTTTAAAGCATAAAAATTGAACATATGGTATTACATGTCACTTTCCTTATCTCTAATAGAATAATCATAGTTGCAAAATAGTGTAAAAATTCGAGTCACGTCTGTTTCCTCATTCTTGCTGGCAGCAAGAAAATCTCCTTTAGCAGGCGATAATTTTGCATTTCAACACAGCATGTGTAACCATCAGACCAGTCAGGCTGCAATTTAAGATAATCTAAGGGAAAGAATGACTTAGAAAAAGAACAGGTCAGAGTCAGACAAAGCATGGTTGGTTAGCTCAGGGTGTAAGTCTTATTTGGAGAGAAACAGCCATGGGCCTCTGGCCGTGGTTGGGAGGACTCACCATCTGACCAAAGTAATTCTGAAGACAGAGTTGCAGAGAAAGGGTTGGAATGCAAAGCTGCTTTTGTGAACCTCCAGATAGTCAGGATCAAATCAATCAGCAAAGGATCTGTGGCTGTCAGGTAAACAAGACTCACATGATGTACAGCCTGGTAGAAGTAACTATTCTCTCCGGGCAGCTCTGTCCTCTTGGAATCCACAGAAATGGGTTCTGAGCTGCAGGAAGATGACTCCGTGGCTGTTGCAGGAGGCCTGGGCAAGTGATGAGGTGGCCCTAAAGACAAGCTTCCTCCTGATTTTGTTCCTACGACTAGCACAGATGCGACTTAAAGGTTGACTCGGGTTTGCACTTTGAAGCAGCCTTGTTTGTCATGTGTTCCCTAAGTGAATTCGGCCGCTTCTGCTTCGGTGGCTTTGTGGGGAGAGGACTCAAAACAGGGACCCTAGAATGTCCACACATAGAGGTTTTCATGGTGCGAGGTCCCCTGGCCACCACGGGGTTGCTATGGCTAGGCGGGCTTCCAGTGCTGAGGCCCACATTTCCTCCATGATAGCTCGGGGTGCTCGAAGTCCCTCTTCCAGAAGAAGAGAGGCTCAGTGCCTCAAAGGAGGTTATAAAGTCGGGGGGCAGCTCTTCCCTCTCAGAGCCTTCTGGTATTGCTGAAACCGCAAATGTCCTTGTGTCTGAGTTTTTGTTAGTCAGTATTGACCACAGCTGCCTGTCATCCTGAACATGGGTAACAGGACTAGGAATGTGGGTGGCCATGGCAGAAGCAGAGGCAACAGATGTACCAGGAGAAGAAAGACCCTGGGTGACACTGGAGACTGGCTGATTACTGGCAACAGTCCCAGAGGTCATATTTGTGTGTAAGGAACCCTCAAGGGCTGCTTGTGTTGTGCTACTCAATACTACCTGGCCCAGAGGTAGTCTTGAGGTTGGGGCCAGGCCCAGAGCTGTAGCTTCCAGGTCTGCAAAATGGAGCATGCTGGGAGTGGAGGTGTCTCTGTGCTGCTGACCATCAGTGGCCTCTGACATGAGCTGGCTGCTGGTTGCAGACTCAGTAGGATTTTCCTCACCTGTGGCCATGTGGAAGAACCTCAGTCCTGGCAGAGCAGAGGCATCCCTGGCTGAGGCTATGCTGCCCCTGGAAGGTGTCACAGTCACCTGCGCAGAGGGGAAGGAGCTCCCGCTGGAGCTAGCAACAGGCTCCGGGAGGAGAGGTTGGGGCAGGGACGTGTTGTCCAGGGGGGTGAGCCACAAGTCAGTCACTGCCAGGGTGGCCGAGCCTGCAGATGTGCTGGTTGAGAGGCTGTCATCCTGGACAGAAGCAGCCTTTGGAAGATCGGGAAAGACTAGGACACCAGGATCTGCAGTGGGACAGTGGCTCTTTGAGGACACAAGACAGCTTGCACATCCTGGGGGCACAGCCTCCCTTTTGGAGATGCTGGGGATGGCGGGGAAGGCGGGCCCAGCACCCACTGCTGCTCTTTCAGAGGCCCTGGGACTCAAAGGGCCCAGGTGGTCCTCATTCAGAGGGGGCTCCCAGCTGGACCTCCGGTTTCCCTTCCTGTTCACGGCTGAAGGGCCAGGCACCGAAAGAGTTTGTCTGTTAGTGCCATCTTTGCCGGTAGGGGTCAGTAACGAGTCGGAGGCTGGGGCTGTGGAGTATGAGCAGGAGTTGGGAAGGGGCTTTGGAGATGAGGAGGCCGGGGCCCCTGAAGTGTGCTTCCTTCCAGACTCAGGATGCACAGAAGTGGTCACAGCAGCAGGTGCCAAGAGGGGCCCTGGGCCCAGGGATTCTTGTTCCACTATGCACTTCCTTTTCTCTGCCTTTTTGCAGGACACTGTAAGGACAGGAGATGGAGCGGTTCTTGAGGCAAGCAGGGAAAGGGGTGTAGTGTTGCTGTACTGGGGAGCCAGAGACTCACCCTGCAACGCGCGGTTGATGCGACGGAATGCAGTCACCTTCTCCCAATCCAGGTGTTCAGCGGTGACTCGATACCCCAGTTTCAGAGGTGGTGGCAGCAGCAGAGGTTTCCGCCTAAGTGGCAGCAGAGGTATCTTGCGTTTTTGTGTCCTAGCTCTACAGGTTGTATGCGCGCTATGCCTTAAGGGTTGTATCTGCTTTGGGGTTGTGTCTGCCACCTTCTCATTCTCATTGTGCTTGGAAACTTGTGGGGTTGAGCACAGAGATTGGAAGCCGTTCTCCTTCAGGTCCTTGGAGGTGAGGCAGGGCAGCTGAACGTGGCTTGTGGCTGGATGACTCCTATGTGATTGCGCTGAACCACCAGCAGGACTGTGTGAGCTGGTGACGATGGCGTTTTGCAGCGACGCCAAAGTCACGCAGGCCTGGGAGCAAGGGCTCTGGTCATGGAGGTTTCTCTCCAGAGGCCCAGGTCTCGGGACGAAGGGAATTAGGCCCCTCTGGCCCACCACGGGTCTAAATGCAGATTGAACAAGCCTAGGACCATGGGGGCTCCTTCTGTGGCAGTCCTGGAGTTCCCTGACCACGGTCCTTTTCTCACTCTGTCTTAGGGCTTTTATTGTCATCTTCTTTGTAACCAGGCAATGAGCACACGTGGGATCTGAAACCCGGAAAGGGGTAACTTCCGGCTCCCACACAGTCAATCAGTTACTCAGTACTTCTGGTTGAGCTGCAGAGAGAGCACCGGCTTCTTCTGAAGTTTGCCTTAAAGATGGAGATAAGGACCCTCAGAAAAGAGCACAATGTCTGCAGGATCCAGAAAGAGCATTTTGGAGCTTTTCCAAAGTACTGATGGAATGCTCAGGATGTTTTAGAATGCCTGGCAAGTCAATCCATGGATGGAGTGGCTAAGTGGGGTATGACCGTCCAAAAAACTGGGCAGGCAGGGTGAAGGCCCCTGGCTGATGAGCCCCTGGGGTACACTCTTCCGTCGGGTCCAAGGGCTAAGGCTAGGGGGCAAAGCTTGCCCAGGGAACTACTCACCAGAGAAGTTGAGGAATATGGGATCCTTGCTTTCCAGAAGTCAGGAGCTTACTCCTTGGAGCTGCCAACTCGTCCAAAGGCGAAATGTCAGTGTTCCTGTGGCTCCGAAGCTGCTTTGAGCAAAAGGCAGAAAAATGCACACATGCGCAAACAGCGAAAACTGGACTGGGCACCTGCAGCATACCTGTGAGCAAGGCCCTCGTGGAAGGGACATGCAGGCACCCAACATGCTTGAAGGAGAGCCTGAGGGATCCTGTGTGAGGAAGCTGCAGATCCATCTCCCGGACCTGGTGAGGCTTCCTGACCTCCTGCGGAGGGCTGAGGATGAGAGGCACAGAGGTGAATGACTTGTTGCAATTACTGCAATACCTTAGCCCAGCTGACAGTCACGGCTGCTGTGGTCAGACGCTGTCAGGGACGGTCCCTGACCAGAGGACTGCACAGAAGCAGGGCTCCTGCCTGAGCAACTCCAGCATGACAGGAGATGGAATTTTTACTGCACTTACCCTGGGAACCTTAGAGAGGACAGCCTGCTAAGGAGGAAGTGCTTGCACCACCCAGGGTCTGCTGTTGTTTGTCATTGTGTTGTAGTTGTTCTGGGAATATTAGGCAACCTAATGTCACAGTCCAATTAGGATTACTATTTTACAATCTAGATTCCATTTATTTAGACCCTTATAAAATATAGAAGCCTTGCAGACACTTTGATTATTTTCCCTCTGGTTTTTATGTGATTACTATGTCCTATGTCTTATCTTTATAAAAGTGTTATAACTTGCATATTCATATATGCAAAATATATTATAAAAGTGCATATAATTTGCATAATAAAGAATTTTAGTGGGAAAAATAATCTATTGCATTTATCCAAATACCATTCAGTTGTTCTTTTCCTGAAGTTTCGTCTTCATTTTTATGTTTTTTTACCTTCATCTTGAAGAAATTCACATATTTTTATATGTGAAAGTATGCTTTTTAGTGTAAGTTTTTTCATCTTTATATATCTTTGTGTTTATTTATTTTTTTTTGCTCCTCGATCCTTAAGGATACTTCTGCCACCATATAATATCCTAGGCTGTTCTTTTTTTTTCAGCACTGAGATACTGTTTCTTTTTGTTTGTACCAGGGATTGAACTCACAACCTTGTGCTTGCCAGGCAGGCACTTATGCTGCTGAGCTAAATCCCCAGGCCCGAGATACCATTTCAATCACTTCTGGAGGGAGGAAAAACAAAAAAGAGCTCTAACGGATATAACAGCAAGTATGTTTAGGGGTGTTAAATAGCTGACTATATTAATGTTTTTGGATAATTGAACACAGCTATTTGCAGTCTCTCTGTTTGAATGTCTACTTTGTATTCTTTGATACTGTGATGTGAGCAACTATTTCCAAGATGATAATATGTAATCTATTAATAGGTGATTTTTTACTGTTATGTTTTTTTTTTGTAGTTCTGTATTATGTGTAACCTTACACCACTTTGTTTTGTTTTGTGTTTTTCTCTTTTTCCTCTTAAATTAAAAAAAAAATCACTTCTGGCTGCTATATTTTCTGAAAAGTCACATTGATATGTCTCTATATTTAACATGTCATTTTCTGTAACATTTTCTAGTTTTCTTCATGTTTCCTTAGAATTTATTAATTTGGGGGGTGTCTTTGTTTTCAGATTGTCCTTTTTTGACCTATGAGCTCTCTGACTCCTGTCACTTCTCTGATGAGAACACATTTCTTCCATTAATGTCGAGAGTATTTTTCCTTTCTTCCCTTGAGAATGCTTATAACAGATACTTTTTGCTATTTTTTATTTTTAATGTGGACTTTTTCAGGGCTGTAGTCCTGACTTTTCCCTTGAGAACTGATCTGCTTTTCCTAATTTTGTGCACATTTTATTGTGTAATTTTGGATAGTATTCTGGGCAGTTTGGTGATTGTTTTGTAAGACTCTGGTTGCGATTAAAATCCTCCGGCAAGTGCCCATTTTCCTTTCTTCTGTCATCCGCTAGGCAGTGAACCCAGAGGGGTCAGGCTACCCTCTGTATTTTGCCTTCAGTGCCCAGTGGTTCCACGCTCCTTGCAGAGCCCAGGCCACTGCCGTGCGGTGGTGTCCGCAGGGCTCTCCCCAGCTCTGCAACTCTGCAAGATTAGTGATGGTTTACTCCGCAGTCTCCTCTTGAAGCGTTCACTCTGCCTCTTTGGGTCTGTTCTGTGCACGTGCAGCTCAGTGTGAGTCTGAGAACTGTGTTGGCTTTTATACAAATTTAAGTAATTTCTTTCTCCAGCTCTCTCTCTACCCACATTCTTCTGATCTAGGGGCCTCACACTTCTACATGGCTTAACTCTCAGGAATACAGCAACTGAGGAAAGAAAAATCTTAATGGAGATTTCTCTCACTCTCTTTAAACAGCACAAATCTCTTTATCTGTCTTTTGCAGAGACAAGTGATTTGTCAGGGTTTTAGTTCCCTCTGTCACTCCCAAGGCTGCAGGACAACTTTGTAACCAGCAAGAAAGACACAGCAGGAGGAGGGATGACCCCTCAAGGTACCCTCCCACGCAGAGACGGCTGGATAGATACAAACACACAGTCCCAGGATTCTTCCTTTCAAGGCGCGCCGGAATTAATTTCTCCTGGGGAAAACCAGGTGACCAGGAAGGGAAAAACATCTTCCATATACTGTAACAGCCCATTAAAGTCCAAGTTTGGATTCTAGTCTCCACTTGCTTATCACTGTTTCCCTCTCAGCATTTTGAAATAGTGTTCACTTTCTGTCCTCTGTCTGGTTTTCACTTGTAATCTGTGTGGCTATGTAGGTGACAGGTTATATGGGACTTTCCACCTTGTCCAAATCGAAAGTCTACAGGTATTTTAGAATAAAATGTTTATTTACATTGTCATACAGGGTAGGTTTTCTTTTTATAAATGCAAACAAGTAGTAAATGTTATAGCTATCTCTATTTTAATATGATCACAATGCATTAAAATATTCTTCCCTATAAAACTAAAGCTACCTTATTTGTAATTTTTAAAATAGATTTCTATTATTTTGTGATTAAAGGAATTATTTGGATATTCCTTAAATTACCGCTAAGCAATTGTTTTCTGATGCATCTTTTATTCCTATTTAACTTTAATTTAGGAGTTGGGTTTCGTGACTTGGGGAAACTGTATAGTCAGATAAAAAACAAAATGGGTGGCCCGGGGGGGCCTCTAATTAAGTACAGGAGGAGATGCCCTTGCAAAATCACTGTCAGTCCTAGATGACTCTCCAGACCTCTCTTGGTATGAAATTAAATGGAATTGTTATGCTCATTTCTAGGAATATAGCAACAATCTCATCCAATATGGAAAAATGAAATCAGGAAAACTTTTCATTGAGCAACATTATTAATGAACAACTTGGAGGAAGGCAGAAGGAAATGCTGAATTACGTGAATATGTGTGATACCTCCCCTCCTCTTGATATAGAAATGGAAACTTCTATGTGGAATGAATCCTTATTATTGCTTATTTACCAATGTTTCACCGAGTAAGGTCTTCAGCGCTGTGTTTTTTTTCTATGCATTTTTCATTCTGCTCAAACTAGTTGGAGGTAATTATTCTAGGGGTATCTTTAAGAATAAAGGTAAAGAATTTTATCACAGACACACAGTGGGCTGGAAGCACGTATTTGTACAAATCAGAGCTGCATTTATTGGAGACGCCAATCCTGTAAGAGCTGCTAGACTTGCTGCACACCCGGTCGCTCTTCCTTGTAGCTCCCCTGGGGCTGACGGCTGTCCTGCCTGTCTTCGGTGTTCTTGTCCAGGTCCTTGACTGGATCCATCTGTGTAGGACCGACCCCCACCCCAGCCCCAAAATAAACCCTCTCTGCTTCTACCGATCCGGGTACGGGGCACCATGCAGCCTTTTCCTGCAGGCTAGAGAACTGCAGAGGGGAATGAGGCAGCAGCAGAGGCAGATTTAAAAGGATGTTGCAGAAGGCTCTGCGGCTGAAGGGAGCGAGTGGGTTTGAAAGAACTGAAGTAGCTGGACCAGAGAAAAAAGAACAGTGCTACTCGGAGCCATACGCAGCCCATGGTCTGCTGGAAAAAACAACTGGAAAGAGATCAGGGAGGACTCTGGGAAAATGGAAAGAAGGGAGCAGAGCTGGATTTGAGTGTTGTTAATTGCTCGCTTGTGGACAAACGTCTGTCTTTATGGTTCAGGTGTCTTTCTGGGTTTTAGTTTATCATAATGGGAAGTGAATGGTCTCTTAATTACTTGCTTGTCAAGGGAACCCATATGAAAGCCCCCACCAGGTTCTCCTGCACCAGAAGCAGAATTCCCACCACTGCTATTCCTGCTGTGTGCCGTCAAGGAAGAACAGGGGACAGGCTGTTTCATCAGGATTTCCTCCAGGTGACTCTAACCATGTCTATACCAGCTCCTTCCTGACTCCTGTTATATTTCCCTGCAACACATCTCTGTGTGTGTGTGTGTGTGTGTGTGTGTGTGTGTGTGTGTGTGTGTTTCCCAGAGCAAAAAGGACTGGCTTCCCCATTGCCCTGAGAACTGCTGTTAAACTATCCAGTCACATGACTGGTTGGCAGGAGAGCAAAATGACCAACTGTCTTGCTTTCCTGCCTCGGGCTTGGCCTCAGAGCCCTCTTAACTGGAAAGGAGAGGCAGAGGCTTTTTACTGGCAGCAGAGACCCCAACAAGAAGGCAGGAGAGGTAGCAGCTGGTCCTGCAGGGGAAGACACATTTAGCTCTGTGAACTGGATCTGGGTTAAGGGCTATGAGCAGGGAGACAACATCACATCTGCTGAGCAGAGCGTTTTGTAATAGTGAGTCTTCTAGGCTCAAAGTGGGGGGTAGGGGGATGGGGAGGAAGGTGGGGCATGCTAGGCTGGGGGAGAATGAGGGCAACAGCTGACGCTACTCCGGGCATTCTGTTGGTTTGCTCTAACCCAGTACTTAACGAAAGAGAGGAACAGTTTTGCTACTTCCAAATTCAGTTGCCAGATAATATGCGATCACCCCATTTAACTTAAACCACATACACACAGTAAATAAGATTTAAGTTTGAGTGTATTGCTAAACCTGGAAACTCCATGCCAGGCAAGTTTGACCATGTCTGGAAACATTTTGATTGTCACAGCTAGGGGTGCTGCGGATATCTCATGGGAGTGGCCCGGGAAACTGCTAAACACCCTGGGGTGACCACCACCTCTGCCTGCTATGCCACCAGGGCCACTGAGAAGTATCTAGCCTGTAAGCGCAATATAATTTTTTACTTGAGATGCTTGGGACCACAAGCATTTTGGGTTGTTTTTATTGTGGTTGTGGTTTTTGTTTGTTTTTTAGATCTTGGAATACTTTCACATACAAGGCAAGAGATCTTGGGGACAAGATCCAGGTCAACATGAAGTTCATTTATCCCTCGTGTATATTTTGTTCCTTAATTTTACACAATGTCTGTAGTTAACCATTGCTTTGACTGCAACTCATCATATGAGGTCAGGTGTGGAATTTTCCATGGAGGCATCACATCATTCTCGAAAAAATGTTATGCTTTGGATTTTTAGGTCAGGGATGTTTCAGTTGTCCTGTTAAGATTGGGAACCTGCTGTCCCCTGCCCTTTGCCCCTCTTGCTGATCTAACACAGACATCTCACTCTCAAATGACACTTTTGCACTTTTAAATTGTTTTGCACGGGGACTTCATGAACCATAACTCCCTAACTGTGTCATCCAGGTAAGTCTCCTGGATGCCTCACTGTCGGCCCTGTGCAGTGACTTAGGCCATGGGAGAGATTTCCCATTAGTGATCCCATTAGTGACGCCCTGTCCCTCCCTGCCGTGGAGAGTCACTCTGTGCTGAACACTGTGCCCAGTGCATCCCAAGCATTGTCTTTCCTGCCCCACATCACCCTCGAGGGAGAGTCTTTCCTCCTATGCCTAAACATGACAAACTAAAAACCAAAGATGCTGAGCAGCCAACTTTAGGGTCACCAAGTCAGTCCATGGAGCAGCCAGGGATCTTATAACCTGGCTTACAGAGAACAGTGAAAGGGATCTGTACCTTCTCACAAGTGCCTGGACACATGACTTGGGTTCTTATATATAGATGGTCTATTTTGTATGTGTGTGTGTGTGCCAGGGATCAAACTCATGACCACATGCTTACAAGGCAGGCACTTATACCGCTGAGCTAAATCCCCAGCTATATGGTCTGTTTTGAGACAGGAAGCAGGAGGGTCCATTCATTCCAGTTTGTGCAGAGCTGACTGCAGACTCATTATTACTGCTGTTCGTATAATGGTGGCAGCACTTTCCAAAGTCATCCAACTTCATGAGGAAGTAATTTCTAAACCTGCCCTGAGCTCACTGGCTCTTCCTTGCTCTGAAGATGTTCATCACCCCTGGAGAGGGGGCTTCAGATCCTGAGAATTCAGCCCTCTCTCAGGTCTACCCTCTACTATGAAGCACAAAGAAAACTATTTGATTTACTGGGTAGAGACAATGACAGCTTCTCTGTTGTGTGGTATCAGCCATGTTTTGCAATCCTACAACTGCTTCCCAACAGCAACAGAACAACACAACAGTTCCTGCATGGGAGAGATTCTGCAATTCTCAGAAATCTGCATCCTGAAGGCTTCCGTTTCTCGATTGCCTGGATTCAGTTCTGTAGAAATGATATCGTCTTATCCATCTGTGTGTCTCTGATGCTGGAGTCACCAGCACATTTCTTGCTGAGTTGTTCATGAGCACATCTGTTGGTGATGTCACAGCCACTAAAAAAATACCATACTGTAATCTGAGGACACTGTTAAGGAAATGGGACAAAGGGGGAAATATTGGTGTCTAGATGATATAGAATGGGAACAAAGAGAAGCCTGTATCAGAGAGAGAGAGAAAGAGAGAGAGAGAGAGAGAGAGAGAGAGAGAGAGAGAGAGAGAGAGAGTTGGTCCAAGCATTAAGAGTTTACTTTCTCCTCCTTAAGCCAGAATAGCTGGACTTCTTTTGAGGTCCTTCGTGTTGGCCTGTGAACCCCTCCTAAATCTCAAGCCCCCTTAAATGTAGGCCACTGGACCTGGGGAAAACTGGAAAACTCTTTGCCGGTTTGGTATTTCCAAAGGTGCTGTTAACCCCTCCACCGTGTCCTGCATGGTGTGCGTTCCTGGGTGGCTCCCCAGATGCTCCTCGCAGACGGTCTCAGTTTTACTCCTGGATTCAGTGTGTGCTTCTTGCATCTTAAACAGAACCTGGAAACAGTGACACCATCTTTAGTTTGGAAGTTAAATTAATCTGAGTGCAAACAACAGAAAGTTGAGATCAGGTTTAAAAGTACTTTCAGAAAATGAAGAGGGACGAAGGTTTTTCAGACTTGTGCTGCCTTCATGTGCTCCTCGGTTAAGAACAAGTCCATTTTCTTATGCCATGTTCATGTGAGGGGGTGGGAGAAACCCAAGAAAGCAGAGGAAAACACACAGCTCTATGGCTAGATGAATAAACATAAAATATCCAGAAAAATATGAACCCTTTAATAAAAATATATAACTCATGCTGGGCACATATAAATAAGCACTACATGATATCAGTTACATGTGGATTTTAAAAGGGCAGAAGTTACAAAGGGATATTCGGTGATCTGTGATAGACTGAGGTAGAGCTAGGGAAAGCTATCGTCACAGGGTACCAGGTTTCAGTAGAAAAGAGAAAACCTGTCAGATATGGAGAAATCATCTAACATAAAGATAAGCGAGGCATATAGAATTTGAAACAGCCACAATCAGAAAAGAACTTCTCCAAAACACATCCTAGTAAAAATGCCAGATGTCTGACACAAGAACAGAATCTTAAAAGTTGTTAGAAAAAAACAGCAAAAAATGGAAGGTAACTCTGTTATAGTTACAGCGGACTTCTCAACACAAAGCTTCAAGCCCAGGAGAGCTTGGACGAAGCATTTCAAACCAGAAGAGAAAAAAACTTCCAAATAGACTGACATATCCTTCCCCCAAAACCTGACTCGGGCCTTTTTCTCTTGATGGTTTTAAAAGAGATTTGTCAAGGTCATGAGAATTGTTGAAATGCTCCATTTTATTTTCTTCTTTCATATATTTCTGATCATTATTTGTTCCTTCCAGTGGCTGGAGGGTGACTTAGAATTTGTACTCTTCAATATTCTCATACCCACTTTTGTCTCCTAAGTACATTTAATCTGGGTCCAGATGTTCAAACCTCAGCCTTAGAGTCCAGTAGATTCTCTGTAACAGAGAACGTTGCCTTCAGGTTACATGAGTATCAAGGGCAATAGCAAAAACTGACTTCAGAGAAATGTCTTTTCATCTTCTCTTCCTCTGTTTCATCATGGAAGATGAAAGGGAGCTAAAGAATTAACAATAAAAAAAAACTATAACATTCTGGGCTCTGGGGGTCTGGAATTCTGAAGTTGGATGAAGAATAAAGATGTTTCTTGGCTTATAAACAAGGTCACATTGCAGTTTTACACTCTTGGAAACCAAGGCTGGATCTGTAGGAGCAGATGCGAGAAAAAAAAAAAAAAAACAAGCAAAACATAGATTGCCAACATTGTTAAATCTATGTACGCTTATCTGTGATTGATGATTATAAGGTCATCACATGCTTATCATGCACCATGTGCTTGGGAAAAATGTACCCTACTATATTCTTTATGAAAATGTTACCCACAACTGACCTCGTTCTCGTCCCAGAAACAAAGGCTAAGGCCTTGATTGACATAGTTTACACCATTCACAAAAGTGTGCCTTTCTAAGTGTACACATCTCATACTCACCAAGCATCAAAAGCAGAACACC